TTTATTAGTTGACTTTTGCAACAATGATATGAGCAGACCTTACTTTTTAATTTAATTTAACATATTCTCGCTCTCCCCAAAGGAATTCTCACCCAGGCATGAGTGAGCTGCATGTTTGCCCTCTTTTAGATCTTAGCAACAACTCCAGCGGGTGAAACTGAAGGGCTACTTATAGGATTGCGGGTAAAATGCAACTACCAGTTCCCACTTTATATTCACTTTATACATAAACGATCTACTGTCACTCTCTAAAGACTAATTATACTTTAAGAATATGTATTTTACTCTGTGTTTCTCGATTGAATTATCATTCTCTTGCATGTCTGGCTGTATGCTCTAATTCTTTAGACTGGCTTTCTGAGTCTTGGGGTGAATTCAAGCCTGTGTTGCCTTGCCAACATTTCACCGTTCAACCGGGCCGTTAGCTCATCTGCTAACTGACACGCACAGGCGCACAAAGGCGTCGATACTACTCATCAGACTTGGGGCCGTTATCTCTAAGACCGATAGTCATCTCATAATTTCGGTTCGTATGCCAACTGTGCCCATCTGCGTCCCCCTACCTGTCCACGACATCCTCAGTTGCCCGGGCGCCGTCATCCTCATTGCTGCCGAGCAAGTTTCTCTTCAGCATAGGGCACCAATCTATCCCCTTTTTTAAGATGGCCATCAAGGCTCCCAACAGGCCTAACTTGCTCATTCGGCTCACCGCCTGCTCACACCCTCTGACCAAGTCTTGATTTCCCTCTCTGCTCGTCCTACCCTCTCCTTTTGGCACAGCCATCGCTACAAAACTTGGCAAGAGCCAAGGGCCGGCCTGAGCATCGCCTCACCTCATTCGCGGTGATCGTCTGCCAGTGGGCCGGCAGAACCAGGTACAAGAGGCTACAATCGCGGACTCGGTTTTAGACCTGGAAGTGGGAGAGACGAGGGGTCGAGACAAGTGGAACCCTGAACGAGGTCAAACCGGACAGAGGCCTTCATTTGGCCGTCCGCCAAGATCCATCTAGTTTCTGGCCTCTCCTACCCATTACCAGTATTTCTCTATCCCCTCTTCTCCACCCGCCTTAGCAACTAAGCCCGTCTCCAACTTGTGCATGCTGCTGAGTGGCGCAGGCACACTGCTGATTGGTGGCCGATTAATTTGTATGCGCACATCCCTTCGAGCAGTGTACCACTTTGAGTTTATGCATGTGTCTGCTCGTCTCTGGGCTTGTAAATGAGCCGATCTGCTGAGTAGGGCCCGTGAGTTGAGTCGGCCACATCCTGGAATATTCTGCTAGACTTGACGTCAGCCGGGCCTGTATACTCGCCTACTTTTTGTCCAGAAGATCCGGTTCTGGTTGCTTCAAGCCGCAGAACGGGCCATCTCAGCAAGTTTAGGGAGTGCACAACTTCTCTTATGCCTGACCATTTAAAGAGGGGGTCATACAAAATGGGTTGAAGATTAAGAACCGGGAAACGGTCATTAAAGAGTTCTACAGCGACGCAACCTAGGTTGATCAGGCCCAGATTTGGCGAGGCAAATTTGAGTCACAATTGGAGTAGGCCGAGGACACATTAAACATGTGAAATTGCACGACTGGTAAAAGTGATCAGAATCACATTTTACAGCAAAATACCCTACAAACAAGCCATCAAAACGAAACTCATTTTGGGGGTGATGATAACATGAACATTTGGGCGGTTGCAAATGCAATCATTTAAGAGACTCCATTGTCCCATCTCGTCTGCTTCTAGGCCGTTTATATCCTGCTCGGAGGTATGAATACCAAGATAATGTGGTCTCTATTTTAGTTAAGGTCACCCTTTGCTGGATAGTAGAGGTATGACCTGTCTCTGTTGTCAGGGCGACCTCGACGAACACACCTTGTTTGGTGTCCTCCGCCATAGTAGTCATGTTAATCTCCCGCATCGGATCGTGGACTTGGCATATATATAAATATATAAACATATATATATATATATAT